TTAAGCTTTTTAGAAGTTAGTTAACGCCGCCGCCTCCGCCGGATCACTATCCCTATGTTAAGCTTTCTGCGACAGAAGTCGCAGGCTCGACAAAAACTATGGTTGAAAGAGGAATATATTTGACTGTGTAAAATCCAGCAAATGAAGCACATAAAAATACAGAATAACAAAATATATGATATGGAAAGAAAATTTATTACTTACCCCAGAAAAAATTCAATTAAAATCATTACAAAAAATACTATAGTGCAAAATGTGAAATTAAATGGCATAGAACATTTAATACGGAACTAGACTGACAATCAGTTTAGAAAACGCTTCACAAGCTGCCTGTATCAAACAATATTTTTTCAATGGAAATCACTACATAATATACATAACACTGAATTTAAATTGTACCAAATGCGAAAGTCCGATGACCTATGTAACTTATGTGGCAATTTTTTTTGGAAACCCAAGAGCATCTTTTCTATTACTGTTATAAGATTCAAAACATCATTGAAGAAATTAAAAGATTACTTACTATCTCTGTGCATAGATAAAACGCTTAACTTTGAGGTCAAAAACATGATTATTAGTTACAATCAAGATCTTGATAAAACGCAAATAAATAGAATCATGTGCAAAACAGTGTAGCCGAGACCATTGATTGGCGCGCTAAAATATCCCATTGACTGGGTCAGATTAGGTGAACGTTCGTCTGTAACGCCCACAACTCACGACGTATTTATTATAAACATTTAAACTGTGGGGTTGCCAAAGGGTCTCAGTATATATACGAACTACAGTGCACAGTATATTATATACATATTTTATTTGCGATCATAAAATGTACGAAGTCGTCCGTTACTATGTAAATTGGGTCGATTAAAAAAAAAGCTGAATATGTTTCTGTTGCCAAGGGTTTTTCACAAGTATAGTAGTTAGCAGAAAAGATCATCAAACTATACATTGTATACCGAACTGCGGCCAAGCTTAGCGAAAGGTCGTGCAACATAATCAGTCAAACAAACGTTATTAGATTAACTCGTTAAGGAACGATCGTTTTCATTGGTCAATTCAAACCTTCGACCTCACACCTGCGAAAATAGAACACGCGTACTATAAAGCTGAATGGACTGATCAGTATTCACGTAGCCGGTCAAGGTCGTTAAAAACTTCCATCGTCGTATTCACGTACATGATTGTGTTCTTGATTATCCCATGGCAATTCTAGCTTTTATACATGTGCATGTAAAATTTTAAACTTTAATCTTAACAGTCACGTCGAAATATTTAATTCAACTGTCTCCTCTCAATTGGTTCTGGATTAAGGGAGCTACCATTTTATTTTGATTGGGGGTGGGGGACTTGGATGAAACATTTTGTCCTGCATTTTTTTTAGTTGTTATCTCTGTCCTGTCTTTCTATTTTTCAGTCTGTTAGGTCCTGACTATTTATTAGTTTATCCTGATTTTTTTACATAAATCGTCATCCTGCCTTTTTTTTTGTCAAGTTGCTCACCCTGCCTTATCTTTTATTTAATGGACTTGATGAATTAACGTTGTACTTGAAATGAAACCGTACTTAACTACAAAAATAACCAAATTACATACTAAAGATATTGCTCGATTTTTATAGTAAATGGGTTTGTGTTATAAACTGTCATGTTCATTATTCATATTCTTTCATAAGTTTTAGGATAGTGTGATTTTTTTTCTGATTTAGTTTATTTGATTTTGAAAAAAAAAATCCCGAAATTCTAAGTAAATTCAGAACATGTAACCAGCCATGCTTTGTTTAGAGAAAAAATGGAGATGGCAAACCATGGCACAGTGGAAGGAAATGTACTTTATAAACTCCAGCGATATACTTTCTTAATTTATAATTAACTGTTTTGCTATCCTCGGTTGAAAATTATATATTGTAAATATTTAAATAGTTGCATAGAAAACAATCAGTTTTAAACAGTATGGTTATTCACTAAATGTATTGATAAAAGGTGACTCCATTTTTGTACATACTTTTACAGTAGTCATCCTTAATTTCTTAATATTTCGTTTATAAGTTTATCATACATGTATGATTTTGTATTTCATTTTAATACGCACGCATGCCACACGTTACTTTGGCGGATAGTTCAACAATGTTATGCAAAGCTCTATTCTTACGGTATGAAATTAAAGGATAAATTTTCAACCAATTAAAATCGAAAACAGTACATTTATATAGTTCCTTATAAACTACGACATTTCTCACAAGTATTTATTTATTTTTTAGTTCCACACATGCAAAAATAAAATCTTCGCCGATGAAACATTTCAAACCTTTTTACACCAACATGCCTTCACTGAATTCATTTGAATTTCGTGATGACCATGATAGTACATTGCATAGTACATCTTTATTCACGTGCACACATGATACGATCTTTCGGGGACAATTTGCTCGTTTATGACACGTCATTTCTGAATGACCAAACGCTTAGCTACTTTATTTTCGTTTTATAGCATGAAAAAAATAAAAGAGGAATGTGCAACCCATCATAAATTTGAAATGGATCAGTATTATGAGATCCTTATTATAAGTAACTACGACATTGTCAGGATAATAACCTAGCGTCAATATGAAAGAAATTAAAGTGGTTCATACATTCATCCGTATAAAAGCGGCACATGTATTTTATTTTATCCTTATATTTTTCATAGTGCGGTACAAGTGCTGCATGCATAAAGAATATTACTTAACACAAATTATTAGTATAATATTTCGACCCCACTATTTGAAATTCACAAAATACTTATTTAATTATTTCGACCAAAAATCATTGTTTTTTTACGTTCGTAGTAACGTAGTACATTCCATTGTCGGTCACCTGTGTCAATTCACGTGCACACTACAATTGTTGTTGTATTTAAATCTTTCGGCCAATGAAATGAGACGTTACAAGTTGTTTGTTTGTGATACGCCAGAATGTTATCAATGAATTATCAATCGCTAAACTTGACTGTACCTATTCAAAAACGTAAATGCAAATTTCACAAGGCTTGATCCAAATAGCCTTTTTACTGTCTAATAACTTGCAAGTACGAAAAAGACAGGAAAGAAGTATATTTTGTCTATATGTTTTGTGTTTGCACACTTTTTAAAGTTGATCATGCATTCGTTCTAAAATAAAATTTTGACCAGATAAAAGTTAAAAGATGACATAATTGGACAACCGCAATTGTTAAATCGCTTTGACGTCCGAAAAAAAGATAATAATCAACACATCCATTGTAACTTTTAAAGCCAGTTAAATCCTTTTTTGCTGAAAGAACGTCCGATATCATAAAAATTCATTATCAAAACATAACAAAAACACAAGTAAAGAACGTTTAAGTATTCAATATAAATCAAAACACAAAGGTTATTCCTGATTAGTTTTTCGAATTATTTTATTTAGGCGTTGAGACCCTTTGGTGAACCCACAGTTTAAATGTCTATAATAAATACGTCGTGAGTTGTGGGCGTTACAGACGAACGTTCACCTAATCTGACCCGGTCAATTGAATATTTTAGCGCGCCAATCAATGGTCTCGGCTACACTGTTTTGCACATGGTTCTATTGGAAATTTTGTAGTGTTTTCGGGAAAATTGAGTATTTGGAAACGTCGGAACGACATTAAATTCAACAAAACAGCATTTAATGAAACATTCATCCTCCGTTTTTCTAGGAAAGAGATGAATGATTTTATCAAAATGATCACTAAATCAAACAAAAAAAAATTATTTAGAATAGACAAACTTGACTGTTTATCTCAAATATTGTAATTACTATTAATGGTCGAATTTGCTTATTCTTTGCTCATTTTGTAGATATATGTACATGTTTATGAGAAAACTTGTGCCTCGATTTTATAGTTATAGTTATCATTTGAATACAAAAGGCACACTTTGAACTAGTGTATATCGTTTACACCTTCATTTACCAACAATCGCTATTATTTATATAAGTCAATTTCATAGTTTATATTTTATACATATTTATATTACATACTACATTTTCAGGTATTACTTTTTTGTAATAGTATTTGACTCACCACATATTGTGTTTCTTTATAAGTGCATATATATTTATTTCACAAATAATCCTTCATCGAAAATTCTAAAGTGTTTGAAGTGCGTGTCCTGTCGATGTCAATATCTAACAGCCATTTAACATACTTTTATTAATATTTTTTCGCTATAATATAAGATTATATTTCTAAATAAAACAAGTAATCATTTGCACACTGTACAATATAATTAACTCCTGTTATACACCATAAAACATTAAAGATTTGTATTCGCATATTATCGAAATCCAATAAGCATTTAAATAAAATAATGGTTTCTTTAAAAATCAAATTAGCTATCTCTTCTGAATGGGGACATTAAATGTGATGCCTCATGTAGACACGGCGCTATATTATGCTAGTTAAGAACTCTTTGACGGGTTCTTTAAAAAGTCATTTCTGTCCCTAGCTAGCACCCTCATTCATATTCCTACCCTCATTCAAATTCCTACCCTATTCGTGTATCTCAGTGATATAACTTTTTATACAAATTAATTACCTGAAACTTAAAAGTTTAGTCATTTTACATAGACGTGCTTGTCAAGGTTAGTCATTTTCTTAATTGCCTAAAATTTCAGGCATTTTAGAGTACACCTAAATTCAGTAAACGCCTGTAACATGTAAGTGTGCATCACAAGTCAGTTACTAGTGATGCACTTCTGATTATATGTTATAATCAGTTCAATTATAAAAATGATATTCAGTTTTGAATGTTTTGTCATATATAGTTACATTTTCATTTTAATAGTTTAGCCCAGATTTGGATACTTTGATTATTGTATTGTCTTGTATTGTTAAAAAATATTAACTAGTGCACTGCCTTTACTTATTTTCATACACACTTTTCTATATGCATTTTGTACAAGAATACCAGTTTTGTATTTTTAACTTTTAAAGTATCTTAATTAATACAATAGCACTCACTGTGTCTAACATTTCCAATAGTTTAGATATATAAAACATCCAACCAGTTCCAACCATCTGTAATAGAAATTAAAAAGCGTTCCACAAACAAACTATCTAACTATAATTTTTCGTCATACATAGAAATATTTATGAAAACTGAAAGGAAAACACAGATATGATACATGCCGTTTCAATCAGAGGTATAAGAATTCACTCACAAATCATATAATTCTAAAATAGGTTTGGGGATTTGTAACATATGGTAGTAAAACTGCAGTATACTCACAAGTATAATCGCAAAAAAATCTAGGTGGTATCGAAGAGAAGGTGAAAAAGTGGCACAATACAAAGGGAAAATTGCAAGTTCACAAATAATAAACGTTATAAAACTTGAGGCCAGTACCAAGTCTAATCAAATCAATGAATGACAGGCACTATATATAATAATACATAATAGAGTTAAGCAACATTTCTTTCCAATCACTGTTCTGAATATGATAATAAAAATAATATGAATGCTATTTTGGGGAGAGGCCTGTTGTCACACAGTTAAAAATAAAGAAGAAAGTTATTTTTTGTGTGTGTGAATATTAACATTGTTTTTTTTTTGGTCTTTAGTAATAATTGTACTGTTTGGATTTTATACTAATAAAATATCTTATCTTATATTATCCATCAAATTTGGAAGCTGGTGTTAGATGGTCTACGATCAGTAAGTGAGCAACCATTTAACTTCTAACTTCAAAGAGGGGTTGGGGCTTGGTTATTGTTTTTTGCCTGACTCAGATTTTTTTTTTAGTTTTTCGACGCTATCAATCAAATTTTTTTTTTTCTTCAAAATTTAACACTATAACGTATGGGGAAAATATGGATTCAGAATATTACTTTTTGTCATCTGCTTGAGCACAATATTTATTTTCATCAAATTGGGGATCAGAATATTCTTTTTGGAAAAAACCATAACTCCCCTTGAAGTTAAATGGTCGTTCCCTAGCTTCAGGACTTTCAACACCAACAACACTGGAACGTCTTATACGATGAAAAGCAAGACTATAGAGATTGTATCTCCTATAATATGTGTATGTGGTAATCAGTATGTTGTCAGTTCGGAACAGACATTTTACATGATATGTATGGCTATATAGTAATGACTCACTGTTAGCCAGATTTCTCTCTCAGTCGCCATTTGAGGTCCGAATGACTACCGGTACCAATGACCCCAACATGGTGTTGTCCAGGGAAGATGTAATCTCCCTCGTGAGATATTGGATAAGGAAGTTAGAAACATTGGGACGAAATGATATCAATCAGAAGACTGAGATATTTACAGTGTGTAGTACATATGTTGGATTTATAAATACATATGACTGGGTAAAGTCAAACTAGATTTTAGATGCATACATGCCGGATATTTTAATGATTTTGTTTTTGTTTTTTTTGCGTGAATATTCCTTGAGTTTTGGTATTGCTGTTTCATGCTATTGCACACATTTTTAATTTATTGTATTATGTTGATTTTTTTTTCTTAAATGGTATAAGTTTCCCCCACCATTTTCTGATACTAAATGTGACTCTCAAGATTTCAGAGCGATAGTTTTTCTCTTTTCTTCAAATGGCATTTAGTTTTTACAATTTTCACGACTTGTGTTGCTGAGGATTAGTGTTGTTTAGGATTAGTGTAGTTGAGGATTAGTGTTGGGTGAGATATTTGGTCGTCCTTGATAAATTAAATTACAGCTTGTTTAACTCTTACGTTTTATGAGCTTCTTCCGTTTTTGAAAGCTGTGACCTTTAATCAGCAAAATGCCTGTGATACTATGCACACAATTGTATAATTACTAAACTTGTACAATTAACAAAATTATTCGAATAAAAACATTGAAGGTGAAAATTCAAAAAAGTTCAGTAATGGAATAATATATGTTAGTCGGATTCTTCACAGGGGATATGGGCTCATATCCCCTGTCAGTGTTTTATATCTCCTGATCCGTCAGGCGAAGAGGATATAGGGCAGTGACAAGGAATAACCCCTGTGAAGCCCGAAGATCAATTCTATTATACTTGAGTGTCCTGATTTTAACATATTAATGTACCATTCATATCTCCCGTTTTTGTTCACAGGGGAAATGGGCTCATATCCACTGTCAAGGTAACCAATCAAATTGCAGGATTAGCCGCGATGGATTAATCCAGTATAATATTGGAATTTATGCAAACTTGCTTTACTTTGTTTTGAGACATTATGCTTATTTCATAGAATAAACTTCTTTTATGGTCTCTAAACTAATTTTTTAAAGTTGTATCGCGCGAGCTTCTCACCAAACAACAGTGTTAAATAATCGATTCATTTTGTATATTTTGTTTTGTGTCTGAAAAGTTTAAACGATGAGCAGGAAGGCTAGTGGTGATGTTAGTGCTTCGGTATTCTTAATTGCACAACGAATTAAACATATTCCTTCAGCTGTTCGGGAAGACGACGCACGATAGTATGGAAGCCGGTTAGTTTCAGGGTGTAGTTAAATTTTTAATTGTTATCACGACTCAGCTAATCCGTAATCAGACAAATTTTGTACAAGCGTATCTACTATTTAATTTCGGTTTGTTCCAATTGACACTAAGGACGCTTAACTGTTGTAACGGCATGCATGATGTCACCAATCTATACTCTGATTGGACGAAATTAAGGAATTGAACAAAAACCAACAAAAAAGATACAAGCTACAATAAAAGGAAAACATTGCAGACATAAAATCAAACTTAAAAATGAAATTGTCCAGATAAATAAAATAAAATCAGGTAAAGAAGGTGTCATTATCACCACTGTCAAATTATTTGGATTTTGTATGCTTAGCCTTTAATACATGAGCAGGTAAATATCACTGACATGTTCATTAGATCTACAATTGAGGCTAATGCTGGTCAAATAGGCTATTAATAGTTCGAGTGCTATAAATATATCTTATCGACTTTGTGTACATGCAAATGCAGTCTTAAACTTCCAAGGCGTAATAATAATCTCAAAGAGTACAAAATATTATACTTGAAATAAAGAATGTCAAAATACATATATCGAAAATTTGATTACTTGTCAAAAGCTGCATTATGTTGATCATCTCCCTTTGGCACCCGTCCGTCTCCGATATGTACACACAGAAATAGGTTGTATCTCTAATTGTATAAGTTGTACGCGACCTACAGTTTTAATTGACATTCTTTATGGTTTTAAACTGTTTCAAGTTTGTTATGCATTACAAATTGTAACCTAAAAATATTATATGGTTATTAGATATAGGAAGATGTGGTATGAGTGCCAATGAGACAACTATATGGTTATGTCTATTTCAAAGCTAGGTATACTTCTTTAGCTCTGAAACAAAATACTTATATATACCTTTAGTTAAGTTCCAGTATATATATTAATTCATTAAAGAAAAACACACATACTCAACTTTCAGAATTGTCAGGTTTTAGCCGTCAAATTGTGTGCATCTTTTAAACTATGATAAAAAAAAACTGATAAAAGATTCATGGTATTTTTTTAAACTCTATCCTCACATCTGAATGCGTCAGATATCTTTTTTTAAAGATAGTACTTGTTTATGTTTTGGTGCTCTTTGGACATTATATGATCACCATAACGACAACTGATTAAATATTACGTGTAATAATCAATATCTTTATACAAAGCTGCAGTTAATTTTTATTCGTTTTGAGAACTTATTGCCTGTCTGGACTTACCGCTAAATTGTTAGGCGAATCAGAGTAGTCGACAGTTTCACAGCCAAATCGAATGCCACCAAAAACATATGCTCGAAAAAAAAACTGGAAAGTAAAAGAAAGAAATAACATATATAATCGAATAGTGGAAGCAATTAATCTATGTCAATACCTACGAGGAAAATGAGAGTGTACGAGTGGTAAGTGTAAAATAAGAGTAGAGAGCGGCATGTATCAATCAACTCTCACCCGACAGTAAACCCATGCTAATGTGGAATGACCGTTTGGTTGTGTATGATGTATAGATAAGCAGTTATGCCAACTTTGGCTGCTCATTCAGTTTTGTGACTTTGATAAACAATCAACACAGAATCATGGTGCACGTGAAAAAAAATGTGATAACTAGCTATATTTGTTAGGTTTTTGTTTATATTGTTCATGCGTTTCTATTATCTAATTAAACTTTGTCATAACAGTTGTTAAATGATCAGGATCTATTTATATTATCTTCTTTCAACGTTAAACTTTGTTTACCTTTTCTTTCATTACGAGTTTTTCCTTCGCAGTTGGGCCATGCGGTTGCCGAGTTTATAACGAGAGATGGCATGGTTATAAATGTCACTGCATGCGGAAAAACTAACGACGAATTGGAGTACCGGAAGATAATTAATTCATTAGCACTAAAATTGTACAGTATTAAAGATATGGATGCAATAGAGGATTTTCTTTTAAAAGAAAATCTATATACTTGTGTTTTATAGTAAAACTTAGACATTCAAGAACATAAAACATATTCAACTTTTTGGTTAAATTTAAAGTATCATATGATTTAAAATTGGTGGCAAATATAATGTAAAGCTTTTATATTATGGGTTGTACAACAAATATATTTTCATAATTTCCGTTACACAACTTCAGATTTGTTTTATGCTTTTTCTATGCTCTCGTTTCTTTGTGTAATTCATTGTACTCACTTGTGTAAAGCAATAACCGGAAAGGAAAACCAAGGCTATATTGTATGATATTAATACATTTTTTAGTTCTAACGGTTTTCTTTTCTCCATTATTGTTGGACCAATTTTCACAAATATAAGATACATCAACATAATCATCAAACATGGCCATGGTGATGACATCATAAACCAGCCACTGACACGAGGATCTGAATAAAAAAATGGCATCATAATGGTTCCGGACGTATCCATAAGTACGGAAGCGTATAGGTATCTTTTTTGTTGTTGTTGCTATTGACTTGTTGCGTTATATCATACTTATCGATATATTTTATGTCGACTTGTGTGGCGATACCGCAATAAATTATGAAAAATATTGCGAAATATTGTGTTATATCAAAACAATTCGATATAAAAAATATTGACTTAAAGTCGATGTCGATATATCAATTTCGATAAAAAATTATAATCAAATTTAATTATATCGATTAAAAATGACAATCAATTTATCAATTATATTTATCTCAATATTTCGAGAACAATACCGCTATACGTTTCTTATATTACGATATATTGATATACTGGAAAATGGTTTGTAGCCTTGTTTCGACATATATCGACTTTTAATTTATAGAATGATTGACACCGCCGCGCTTTTTGAAGGCGGGGGTTTTACTCAGCTTCCGTTTGCACCTTGTGCCGACAAACGTATTGCCGTAGAAATTTTTTTATTAACTCTGAGGTAAGGGTGGAGTAGACTCAAACTAGCATTATAAGACTCAAATGTTTTAAACTATATATAACGCTTTTTATTTTTAACAATCGAACGCGTCTAGGGCATAAGTACTATGAGCTGTTTTAGAGGCAATATCTACTTTTACCTCTGGTACCATGGCCAACGTGGAAAATCTCTTTGTTTGGCCTGTCGGCAATAGTTAAATTGGACTATGTGACATATCAGGTCCCCCCGTTCATCATATGCTGACACATTTGTACGAGTCTAGGGCATAAGTGCTGTGTGTCATTTTAAAGGCAATATATATCTTCTACCTCCGGTACCTATGCCAACGTGGAAAATCTCTTTGTTAAGTTCGACAGCCGGCAATAGTTAAGATGGACTATGTGACATGCCAAGTACCCGAACCCTATGCTGACAAACTCATGCGGATAAGGGCATAAGTGCTATAGACCATCTAAGAGGCAATATCTCCTTCTACCTCAGGTAGTATTGGATTTTAGGGAATAAAGTATTGTATGATACAATGACCAACATGGAAAATCTGTTAGTTTAGCCAGCCGGCTAATGTGAAGTTGCACTATGCTACATACCAAATACCCACCCCCCTTTTTTTGCCCATTTCTCACAAACTCGTACGGGTTTAGGCATTACCACTATGGGCAATTTTAGTTGCAATGTCTCGCTCTTCCTCTGGTATATTGGCCAATGTGGAGAATCTCTTAGTTAGGCCAGTTGCCAATAGTTATTTGGACTATATGACATACCAAGTACCCATCACCCTATGCTGGAAAACTCGTACGGGCCTATGGCATAAGAATGGAAATTTCTACCTCTACGTCTGGTATCATGGACAACGTGGAGAATGTCTTAGTTTAGCCAGCCGGCTCATTTTTCAAGACTTTGAAACTTGAATTTCAATGAAAGAGGATACGAGTTTTGTGTAATCAACTCCTACTACATTTTTTAATCCAGATCCCATACACTTTACAAAAATATTGAACATATGTTTAAGTTGTGCACCTCCTATGATGGAATTCGTTGATTTATTTTTTCAACCTATTCTTGGAACTTAGTCATTTTTCAGCAATATTTATGAAAGTGGTATAACTTTGGTGTAATCAACTCCTCCTAAAGTTTTCCACCTAAAACCTAGAAACTTCACTGGAAGATTGTACATATGTTGGAATTATGCACCTTATATTATGGAATGATATGAGGATTTTTTCCCTATTTTTCCAAACTTGGGAACTTATATAGAAATAAGAAGATGTGGTATGCTTGACAATGAGACAACTCTCCATCCAAGTCACAAAGTGTAAAAAGTAAACAATTGTAGGTCAAAGTACGGCCTTCAATACGGAGCCTTGGCTCACACCAAACAACAAGCTATAAAAGGCCCCAAAATGACTAGTGTAAAACAATTCAAACAGGAAAACCAACGGTCTAATCTATTAAAAACTAGAGGCTCTGAAGAGCCTGTGTCGCTCACCTTGGTCTATGTGCATATTAAACAAAGGACACAGATGGATTCATGACAAAATTGTGTTTTGGTGATGGTGATGTGTTTGTAGATCTTACTTTACTGAACATTCTTGCTCCTTACTATTATCTCTATCTATAATGAACTTGGCCCAGTATTTACAGTGGAAAATATTTTGTAAAAATTTACAAAAATTTACAAAATTTATGAAAATTGTAAAAAATTTACTATAAAGGGTAATAACTCCTTAAGGGGTCAATTGACAATTTTGTTCATGTTGACTTATTTGTAGATCTTACTTTGCTGTACATTATTGCTGTTAACAGTTTATCTCTATCTATAATAATATTCAAGATAATAACCAAAAGTTGCAAAATTTTCTTAAAATTACCAATTCAGGGGCAGCAACCCAACAACGTGTTGTCTGATTGGTCTGAAAATTTCAGGGCAGATAGATCTTGACCTAATGAACAATTTTATCTACGTCAGATTTGCTCTAAATGCTTTGGTTTCAGAGATATGAGCCAAAAACTGCATTTTACCCTATGTACTATTTTTTAGCCATGTCGGCCATCTTAGTTCGCGGGCGGGGTCATCGGACACATTTTTTAAACTAGATACCCTAATGATGATTGTGGACAAGTTTGGTTAAATTTGTCTTAGAAGTTTCAGAGGAGAAGATTTTTGTAAAAGATTACAAAAATTTACGAAAAATGGTTAAAAATTGACTATAAAGGGCAATAACTCCTTAAGGGGTCAACTGACCATTTTGGTCAAGTTGACTTATTTGTAGATCTTACTTTGCTGAACATTATTGCTGTTTACAGTTTATCTCTATCTATAATAATATTCAAGATAATAACAAAAAACGGCAAAATATCCTTAAAATTACCAATTCAGGGGCAGCAACCCAACAACGTGTTGTCTGATTGGTCTGTAAATTTCAGGGCAGATAGATCTTGGCCTGATAAAAAATTTTACTCCAATCAGATTTGCTCTAAAGGCTTTGGTTTTAGAGATATAAGCCAAAATCTACATTTTACCCCTATGTTCTATTTTTAGCCATGGCGGCCATCTTGGTTGGTTGGCCGGGTCACCGGACACATTTTTTAAACTAGATACCCCAATGATGATTGTGGCAAAGTAGTTTCAGAGGAGAAGATTTTTGTAAAAGTTAACGACAACGGACGACGACGACGGACGACGACGACGTCGACGGACGACGGACGCCAAGTGATGAGAAAAGCTCACTTGGCCCTTTGGGCCAGGTGAGCTAAAAACGAGAAACGAGAAACACATATTAACCACACCAACAAACGACAACCACTGAACAACAGGTTCCTGACCTAGGACTTAGTCAATTTTCAGCAATATTTATGAATAGCATTGTCATGTGGATTTTTATACGAATTAAATATAAGGGTGGAAGGGAATCTGGGTAGCTAAAGTCTACTTGAGAAAAAATCCAGGATGTTGTTCGGCCTAATTTTTTTTTTGAATAGGTCCAAAGTTGGGGTCTGACACCCTACCCCACCCTTACCTCAAAGTTAATAAAAAATTCCCTACGGCAATACTTTTGTCCGCACTAGATTTAAACGGAAGCTGGGTAAAACACCCGCGTTCATTCTATATATATGTCGAAACAACGCAACAAACCATTTTCTAGTATATCGATATATCGTAATATAAGAAACGTATAGCGGTATTGTTCTCGAAATATTGAGATAAATATAATTGATAAATTAATTGTCATTTTTAATCGATATAATTAAATTCGATTATAATTTGTATCGACATAAATATATCGACATCGACTTCAAGTCAATGTTTTGTATATCGAATTGTTTTGATATAACACAATATTTCGATATATTTTTCATAATTTATTGCGGTATTGCCACACAAGTCGACATAAAATATATCGATAGGTATGATATTACGCAACAAGTCAACAGCAACAACAGCAAAAAAAAACATACCTATACGCTTCCGTACTTCCGTAATTAATAAACTTTGAAACACTGCAAAATATGTACAAAAAGAAATCGACAAGATTAATCAATTTTTAAGATACCAATAAATATTTTTGTGAGAGAAAAGTATTGACTAAAGTATACACTAAAAATTTGACGAAAAGTCGTGACATTTCACGTGTTTACTACCTAAACTTTCGCGTCATGTTCCAGGATCCTCTGAACATAAGTACGGAAGCCTGGAGCTCCCTCGCTTTATTGCTTATACATAAATACATGTACTATGATAGCTATCGTGAAAATTCGTATTATAAAACAATAAGATAATTCATTTTTCGCGGTAAACTGAAATAATATTTTAATTTTCTTGCCTTAAGTATCTCGACATAAATCACGGCTATCATTCGGTATATCGAGAAAATGATCGTGAAAAAATAAGTAACGGCGATCAAGCATTGCGGTTGAATCGTGAAAGATCTGGTATCGGATCGTCAAAGCAATTAGATACAATTCAACTGCAAAATCTGCGAAAATATCCATTGTATTGTCAACAGGCGGAAAAAATCAGAAAAAAATCGATGTCTGTAAAAATGGTTCAACTAACTTGATAAAACTATGCATTAAGTTAAAGAAAAAAAAATGCAGTAATTTTGAAGAAACTCAAAAGGTGACACACAATCTTATGTGAATCATAAAGAAAAAACAATGGTCGAATTCCAATAAAGCATGATGTATTTTGTGGGCAGTCATTCGGGCAAAATTGAACAAAATCTAAAAAAACAGACGTTCAAACCTAAAACAGACTTCAAAAACAAGAACAGACATAAAAAATGAACAAACAGACGTGAAAAAATCAAAACTGAGGTAAAAAAACGAAAATAGACGTTAAGCTGGGTCATCTCATTTAAACATATTAGACGATTAACCAACCTCTTGTTACTGAGATTTTTAACTTGTAAGGTCGCGCTTAATTCATGTAACAAGGTCGAAAGTATCCTAAGATATGTCATAAGATAT